CCGGGACCTATGTTCTGGATTATATGACACCCGGTGCCGCACGTGACCTTAGTCTCGCCCACACCGAAGCACTTCTGACCTACCAGTGCTGCGCTCTGATCCGATATAACACCTAAACGACGACAAAACTAATGAATAACTGGATATAGGTATGGGTGGTGAGGGAGCGAACCTGTAACGGGTAATCCCTTAAGATCTGTGACATTCAAAGTGCCAAAAAAGTCTGAAGAGGACTTAATGTGCGGTAAAATGGAGGCCGGTATCTGAAAAAAGTCCAACAAATAGGGGTCCCATTCGCACGTCTCGATGTCCATCAGGAGTGTCCGACTGGCGTTTGTCACATCCGTCATGTGCTGACCCGTCAGTTTCCACAGAAGCCATGTGTCGATTGTACCGAACAGTAGGCGTTCCTCTTTAATGGCCTGAGCTATGGTGGGCTTGTTGTCGATGAGCCACCGGAGTTTGGGCGCCGAGAAGTAGGTGCTAATCGGCAGACCTGTCTTATTCTTGAGCCAATTGATGTCACGGCCGGGCAGGTCGTCGATGATCTTCTCCACCAAATCGTTGGTCCGGTTGTCCAGCCATACGATGCAGTTATAGAATGGCTGTCCTATTGGTGACAGATTTAAGGGAAAACTTTTTTTAAGACATGAAAATTATATCGAAATATATTATACAGTATTTGACTGTATTATCAGCTATTGTGACACAATGATTATCTGTGAGCACCGATAGTTTTTTTATATAAAAAACTATATACAGGTATACAGTATATTGATAGTGAAGACTATTATATGCATTATATAAATCTGATATCTTATAGACTACTCTAATATTGTATGAAATATTGTTTTAAAACGAAAATTTCGGTAAATGTGTGAAACAAATACCAAATCGGTTTCAATCGGTTTGAAATGAAGGCCAACAATAATTATTACTAAAAAGGTTTTTATCGATATTTATGACAGTTTTTCGACTTATCTACCCTTCCCTGTCTTTAGTCAATACTGCATGTCATATGATGGCTCATTAACGTTCATTATTCAATGACTTTCATTGATATATGTTTTTTTAATTAAGTCAAATTTATTAACTTTTGATAAACTTATATATTAAAAAATATTTTATGCCTTTTTATAAGATTTCTCAAATATTTTAAAATTTTAAAACATTTCGCAACTAAACTATAGATTACAAACTGAATCACCTGACAATAAGTTATTCTGTACCAATAAGCACAATGAATATATGCAAACAAATTACTAAACATACCTGTTACTTTATCCCAGACCACAGTGGACTCGCGTTCATTAGTAATGCCCACGCATTTGATTTGCTCCAAACCAATGTCCAATTGCGACAACTTATATGTGACCACTTCTATGCACTGGAGCACAGTCTCGTAGATTTGAACAGGGTCCTGCTCTATCCAGCCCTCCCGGGGCAATATCTTGTTCACCTCCAACTGGTAATATGTAATCATTTGTCCGCTTTGGGACACAAACACTGAAAAGCGGACATAATTTGTCGAGTGCTCCACAACACCGACTAATGGACCCACGAATTCAGACATTGAGAAAACTATTGATTATATTCTTTGCTATACTTTCATAAGACTATTGATTATATTCTTTGCTATACTTTCATAAGTTTTTAGCAAAAGTTTTTATACCAAACTTTTCACACTATTATCACTCGCGAACTAAAAGTGAACTATTATTACGGTTTATATAACACTTTTACATTTAAATTTTAAATACTTTTACCCTAAAATTTTTCAATACATTAAATGTTTACAAAATGAGAGTATTTTGCACTCAATTTGTAGTGCACTTTGCTTACTAATTGAAGTGCATTACAAAAGTCAGTCCAACAATCAGGGTATTTATGAAATTGAAAATAAATTGACTGAATGTTATAATATTTTTTTGTTGAAAAATATCAAGATGTTTGGCAATCATCCATCGGACGAGTGGTTACAACATATAAATTAAACATAAACTAATTGATAAGCTTAAGAGTGCCAAAAACAGGGACAGGCAAAGGGTGGGGATT